CGCCAGCCGCAATGCACCTGCCATAGTAGCCACTTGGGGGGTGAACCAACGGCGAAAGGAAGACCTTTCTCTCTGTCTCTCTCTCTCACTGTCCACTCTGCCTGTCAAAAAAAAAAGCTTGGGGTGAAGGATTTCAGAAAAGAAGGAATGTCCACAGCGCACAGTCGGCTTGCACGCTCTCAGGCACACATGCACACATGCACACACGCACACGCTAAGTGAAATACACAGCTCCTCCACTGTAGCCCTGTGGTGATCTCGGCTTGCTCGTACAGTGGGTAGCTGAGGTGGCCTTCGTGGCTGGCTCCACGCTCTGCCCGTCAGCGCTGAGTTCAGCGGGGTCACGTACCCACCTGTCTGCTTGGGTTTCTACTGGGTTTCCTAAGCTGGCAAGTGTGGCCACCCCACAGCTCGGTGGCTGCTTTCAGAGGGAAATCTGGCACCTACGAATCCCGAGTCGGCCCGCAGCACAGGATCTGGCCCATCTCAGACACCACTGTTCTTGGATACAAACCCTTCTGGGAAGACACACAGCAGCCATGATGTGGCTGGGTGCTCGCCAGCATCTGGGGGCATAACTGGTGGGACAGGGCCAGGATTTCCAAGGAACTCTCAGTGCCACGCCACACCCCCCCCAACTTGATGAGTCACTTTCTCCTCACCTCTGGGCCCCGGCATGCACCCCAAGTCCTAACCTTATCCTCCAAAATGAGGACTCCATGAACCAGGCCTCCTGTCTAGAACGGAAAGCTGGGGCGAGATGGGGGCAGCTCCCTTGGGACTTGGCCTCCCTGAGGCCTGAGGTCAGGCCCTGGGCCCCTGGCTGCCCTCGGTGATTCAGTCCTCCCCAAGCGAGCAGGGTACCGCCAGACCTTCCCCCTTCCCCACCAAAGCCCAACCTCCTAGGCCCTGCTCCCTCCCCTGCATCCTCCCCCTCCCCCCTTCCAGGGCTTAAGGGACCTTTTCTATTTGCAGAGCCTAAAGAAACTGGTTGCCAAGGTGACAGAGCAGGAACAGCAGGGAGCTGGCCACTGCGGGAGGGGTTTTGCCCCCAAACAGCTGTCAGTGGGAGCGGCCCCAGCTGGGACTGGAGGGTTTGCTGCTCCCGAGGAAACACCCCCAGAGAGGCTCCCCTCTGCTCTGTGCCCCCCCCCCCAACTGCAGCAGCTCTCCCCTAGTTACTTTCCCTGGGGGCAGCAGCCTGCCCATTTTAAAGCCTCTAATAACAAACAAAACTCTCTCTCTCTCTCTCTCTCTCTCTCTCTCTCTCTCTCTCCCTCTCTCCCTTTTGCTGGCACAGGCTCAAGCATGCTGCCTCCAGATCCCAGGTCTCCCAGTGGGTTGGCTGGGCAGGAGGCCGGAAGTCACCTCTGGGAGCTGCGCAGACCAAGACAGGTGCGGTGCCCAGCGCCCCGCTGCCCCTACTCAGGGCGTAAGGACTTGCTCCCAGAGAGGATCTGCCCCTCCTAAACCTCTCCCAGCTGCCTTTCCTTTGTGGGGGTGGGGGCGAGAGTGGGGGCAAGGAAGGGGGGTTGGCGAGAAGGGAAGAGCAGGAGGGACTGGGAGGCAGGGACAATGAAGCCGGCTGACCTGTGTCTCTGGGCAGAGCGTCCTCGCAGTCCTGCAGGGCACAGCTGCTCCCTCAGAATGTTCTGGGAGCTGCTTGTCTCTGCCCTGCAAGACAGCCATACCCTCAGGCCACAACGGCCTGGACCTCACTGGTGTTTATCTTTGCCCAGTGCAAGAGCAGACAGCCTCTGTCCACTCCACAAGCCTCAACCAGCCTGACACCCCCCAGGCTCTTAGAGCCCTAAGGCCAAGGAGGCCCGGGAAGTGCCTGTGAGAGCTGACCTGGCCATCTAGCCCTGACCCAGGCAGACACGGAGCTGGACCCCAGTTCTGCCACTCCGACTAGGTGACCTCGAGCGCGTTCCTGGGAGACTTCTCTGAGCCTCAGTTTTCTCATCTGTGAAATGGATAAACGTTCCTAGCACACAGAGTTCTTTTGAAGGTGGGGGAAGTGGTGTGCACAGGACCACCCAGCACATCGGCTGGTACGAGGTGGAGTTGGTTAGCGCTGGCGCCCGCCCGGGGCCTCAGTGCTACCACACAGCCTCAGGAGGAGCCCGCACTCACTCCAGAACTGCCCTTAGGATTTCAGGGTCTGTCTGAGGTTTGGAGAGAGGCTGCATGGCCCAAGGCTCTCGGGAAGTCCTGAGGCCCCAGGGTTTCTCCAAGGCTTGTGGGCTGAATGAGAACATTCGAGAAACACTGCCTTACGCCCTAGCTCTAGTCCAAACTGCTGTCAATGGTTTCTTTATCCACGAGAGGAAAGCCTAGCCCCGTCTCTGGGGAAACATCTAGAACCACAGTGCAGGGAGCCTCGGCAGGGAGGCGCCTTCCTCCACTCTGCAGGGGCCACCGGAAGGTGGCGGCTGACCTTCAGCCCTGGGTGGCTTTGGAAATCTCAAAAAGGCGAACAGAGAGCCTCGGCTCAGTTTCCCCAACTCAGTGCCGCTTGCTCTCCCTGTGCTTTCCTCCGGCCGTCTGTGTGAGACACACGTGCCATCCCTCTGACCCTCTGTGTCCACCCTGTGCTTACTCCTCAGATGCTGGCGTTGATGGGACTGGCTTAAACATCTGCCCCTTCCTTCTGACTGTGCACTCCTTTAGGTAAGAGATAATATTCGGGGGCCGGCGTGGTGGTACAGACAGTAAAACTGCTGCCTGCACACCGGCATCTTGTTATCTGAGTGAATTTGAGTCCTAGCTGCTCTGCTTCCCATCTAACTCCCTGCTAATGCCCCTAGGAAAGCAGAGGAAGACAGCCCCAGTGCTTAGGCCCCTGAACCCACATGGGAGACCTGGATGGGGTTCCAAGCTCCTGGCTTCAACCTGGTCTAGCCATTAAGGAGTGAACCAGCAGATAGAAGATCTCTGTCTATGTCTCTTCCTCTCTGTTGCTCTGCCTTTTAAATAAGTAAATAAATTTAAAAAAAAGGATTTTATTTATTTGAGAGGTAGAGTTACAGACAGTGAGAGGGAGAGACAGAGAGAAAAGTCTTCTTTCCGTTGGTTCACTCTCAGATGGCCGCAATGGCCAGAGCCACGCCTATCTGAAGCCAGGTGCTTCCTCCTGGCCTCTCATGGGGGTGCAGGGGCCCAAGCACTTGGGCCATGTTCCACTGCTTTCCCAGGCCACAGCAGAGAGCTGGATCGGAAATGGAGCAGCCGGGACTAGAACCGGCGCCCATATGGGATGCTGGCACTGCAGGCCAAGGATTAACTTAGTGCACCACAGCAGCAATAAATCCTAAAAAGAGAGAAAGCAGCCCTATTTTGATCATCTTCGTTTTAATCCAGGGACAAGGACGCAGCAGGTTCTCAAGGGCAAGAGTGCAGGTTAGACTGGCTGCACACAGCCTGGCTGCGGACACGGGGTTGGCGGCCGCCTGGGGAGCAAAGCCTCGGCTCCCTGTGGTGCTTAGTTCTGTGCTCTGACAGCTTGCTCGTGTTCTCCAGGCTGATAAGGCTGGCTTCTAGGGCTCTTGCCAGATTTTTCCATCACAGGTTTCCTATAATAGGCAGTGCTGGGAGGATTTCTGCAGGCAGAGAAGGGAAGCTGGCCAAGGAACACTGATTGGTCCCGACATAGAACTTGCCTCCCACGCTCTGCTGGCCCCCAGGCCAGGGGCTCCATCATGCTCCTCTAGCACTCGCAGCACAGCGCAGCACAGCACCAATAACACCCTACCAGCTGGCTGCCTTCTCACTGAGGCCTAGCTCACAGCAGGTGGTCCTGGACCACTGATCACTGGTCCCTGCATCTCCAGAGCTGGCCAGGGGCGGGGCCCAGGGCCCAAAGGTCCCTGCATCTCCAGAGCTGGCCGGGGGAGGGGCCCGGGGCTCACTGGTCCCTGCATCTCCAGAGCTGGCCAGGGGCGGGGCCTGGGGCCCACTGGTCCCTGCATCTCCAGAGCTGGCCGGGGGCGGGGCCCGGGGCCCAAAGGTCCCTGCATCTCCAGAGCTGGCCGGGGGAGGGGCCCGGGGCTCACTGGTCCCTGCATCTCCAGAGCTGGCTGGGGGCGGGGCCTGGGGCCCAAAGGTCCCTGCATCTCCAGAGCTGGCCGGGGGCGGGGCCCGGGGCTCACTGGTCCCTGCATCTCCAGAGCTGGCAGGGGGCGGGGCCCAGGGCCCAAAGGTCCCTGCATCTCCAGAGCTGGCCAGGGGCGGGGCCTGGGGCTCACAGGTCCCTGCATCTGCAGAGCTGGCCGGGGGTGGGGCCCGGGGCTCACAGGTCCCTGCATCTCCAGAGCTGGCCAGGGGCGGGGCCTGGGGCTCACTGGTCCCTGCATCTCCAGAGCTGGCCGGGGGCGGGGCCCGGGGCCCAAAGGTCCCTGCATCTGCAGAGCTGGCCAGGGGCGGGGCCCGGGGCTTACTGGTCCCTGCATCTCCAGAGCTGGCCGGGGGCGGGGCCCGGGGCTCACTGGTCCCTGCATCTCCAGAGCTGGCAGGGGGCGGGGCCCAGGGCCCAAAGGTCCCTGCATCTCCAGAGCTGGCCAGGGGCGGGGCCCGGGGCCCGGGGCCCACTGGTCCCTGCATCACGATATTGGAGGATGAATGTCTGCAGTACAATGAGAAGATGAAGGTCACCCTTTCTCACCTCCCAGAGTGGCTCTCACCTACTTCTGGCTGGCCCCGTCCTGTGTCCTTTTCCCTGAGCCATAGGAATTTCAGAATGGTCTACCGCCAGCCTCCACGCACTCCAGGCTCAGAGCCATGAGTGTGCACCCAAGAATCATAGCAAGGGAGCACTGGCTTATGCCAAGGTGTGGCTTCCCTTCCTTAAAGTCAGGCAGAAGCATGAAGTGGGATCAGGGGCTGGCGAATACCTCCGGACCGGGAGAGAGAAGGGCGGACGCTGCACACCAACGCCCATAGGATGTCAGAAAGCTTTCCCCCACCTGTGCTCTGGGATGCCTTCTTCCTGGAGCTCTTACCTGGTGCAATGAGGGGGTGGGCGGCCACAGCGGGCACTGCCCGGCCCGGCCCAGCCCGGCCCTCGGTGCTCCCGGGCACACTGCTGCTGCTGCTGCTGCTGCTGCTGGTGCTGCTGCTGCCATCTCCCTTCTTGAGCGGCTCTGTCACACTGTCCATGACACCAGGCTTGGCACCTGCAGGGGACCCCTGGGCAGTGTTTCTGCCCTGTGAAGGGGTAGGCACGGGCTGGCTGCCCCCAGGCGAGGGTTTCAGGGCCAAGTTGGGCAGCACAGGCTGAGTGGGGGTAGGGCCCGAGCTGGCTGCAGCTGGAGTCTGCTGTGTTCGGAGGGTCAGGTTCTGCACCTGGAAAACAGGGGTCCATGGGAGTCCAGACAATGTGGGCAAAAACAAAGCCATACAGGCCTGGGAGATCAGAGGAGCTCGGGTGGGCCCAGCAGTGGCTCAACAGGACAGTGGGTTGGAAAATGAGAGAGAGAGAGAGAGAGAGAGAGAGAGAGAGAGGATGAACATGAGAATGGGTTAGAGCACAAGCAAGGTTGTGTTAGTGACTGGATCCATCAGCAGAAGGAACTGGATTCGGAGAAGGGGCCACTGCCCAGGCTGGGGCTGGAGGCCAGGGACTCCCTTCTGTCACCCTCCCTCCTCCCCCAGACCACCAGGATTGGAGGCACACGACCCAGAAACAATTCCCAGACACGGCAGAGCAGGGGGCTTCCCGCGGTGCAGAAGGCCGGGGCACAGGTGAAAGTTAAATGAGCAGGGCCACCACCAGGCAAAGGACCGTCCTGTCCTCAGCCTAAGGTGAACTCGGCCCTTTTCCAGGCGGCCAGCACACTTATTCAACTCGGTCCCTGGCGCCCTCTGCTGGACACATGGAGGCTGTGCCGGACGCCTTGCTTGCAAACCCTCTGCCCAGGCCCTTTCGTAGACCGGGTTGGAGACGCTAGTGGGAGAACACCCTTCTCCACCACCCACGGAACCTCACGTCCACAGGCATCTCAGCGGAAGGCAGGGGCCTGGGATGCACCCTCACACCCTCTCCCATGCTGTTTGCCCGGATCCTAGCAGTGCCAGCGGGCATGACTTGGATGGAAGGTCCCAGTTAGGAAGCAGTGACAACAAAACAAGTCATCTTGGAAGGGTGGGAGGCGCGAAAGCCTCAGCATGCTGTCTTCTGACTCCTAACCCATGTCAGAGGAAACAGAACAGAGTCGAGAGGGCCCGAGGCCGCCTGAGTCTGGGAGTCCTGGGCAGCCCTCTCTCCCACCTGCTTTCCTGGAAGAACCCCCCCTCCCCAAGCCTTAGCAAAGACTCAGAGCTCCTCCAGGGCGGGTGCCCCTCCCCGGCCTCAGTCCCCCTCTGCAGCTGCCCACCCCCGGCCCTCCCGTAGTGTGGAGTCCTCACCTGGGCGGGGGTGGGGGGCCGGGCGGGGGCGCCAGTGCCGAGCTCAGGCTGCACAGTAGCGACGGTGGCCGTGGGCGTGAAGATGAGCTGAGGGGACAAAGGAACAGTGCCGCCTAGGCTCCTAGCTACCTGCACCAGGTTACCTGGCTGGGCCTGGAATCACAGGAAACGAGGCGCCGTTTACCTGCCCAAGGTGGGCTCAGCCACAGGACAGAACAGGTTAGCCAGGGAGCAGGCATGGGGCAGGCTAGGGACACAGCAGGGCAGGCCAGGAGGGCAAGGGGACAGCTGAATGCCTGGCAAAGTTTGCAGCCCCCTCAGCACCCTCTGTGAGGGGCTCGTGCCTTCCCAGCACACCTCCAAGTCACCATCTGCTCAGCCTCCTGGCGAGCGGGGACCTAGGGCAGGGACACTGGCTGGAGGACCACGTTCTAGGTCTGACCACTCCTGCCCTTGGGGCTGGGTCAGAACAAGACTCTCCCCCAGAAGGGATCACATTCGATGCATCCTTTTGGTGATTTTCTAGTCAAATTCGGATGTGATGGGGCGGGGCGGGGCGGGGCGGGGGGGGGCGGCGCTATACCAGCAGACGGCCTGGAGCTGTGGTGGTGTGTGACTGTCACCCACAAGGGTGCACTCGTGTGCCATTCTCTGTGACACCTCACCCTTTATGCCTGGGTGGGGTGGCGGTGCTGTCCCTGGAACCTTGGGAGGATGCATTCTGTGACCGTGTGCCCTGCTCGGGGGAGGGACCCCGCCAGGGCAGTTGAGTGGGACATGGAGATGAAGCTTGGGTGGTGGCAGTATGTGGCTGTGCAGGTCTCTATAGAGACAGAAGTGCATTTCACACTGGGTGTCTGACATCCCTGGGGATGGAGACGGGCCTCGGGCCAGGAGCTCAGGGCTAAGGACAGAAGTGCGGCAGTGGGCCCAGAAAGGCCCTGGGTGCCAGGTTCTGGCCCCAGAAGCACAGCAGGGTATGTGTGATGGCACTGTCTTTAGGCTGGCGAGTCCCAGGCCCGAGGGGGAGCCTCGCACCTCACACACACCTGACCCAACGCAGCGCTCCTCCTGCCTCCCAGGGTCTCGGCTGCTGTCTTCCCCGGACAGGCTTCTTTCAGAGCCTGCTACGCTTCTAAAGGGCACCTTCAGGACAGGTGCAAGGGGGGACTGCAGGTGTGCTGGTGATCCCCTGACCCGCCTGGGACAAGGGCCCTGCAGCTGGAGGCAGCCAGTCCGTGCAAGACCCTGCTTCTGTAGGGCATGTGGATGCCCAAGTGGGCAGGGCCACATGGGCACGGACTCCTGCATCACCTACCCTCGTGAATTTTGAGGAGTGCTTTCTGATAAGAAGGGGACACTTTTGCCTCGCTTTGGGAGGAGAGAGAAAGGAGCCGTCACAGGTAACTTCCCTCTTTCAGCCTGGAACCCCACCCTTGCTTGAGTCTTGAGCCTGCACCAAAGCTGTCACTCAGCTCCCCCCCACCCCCTCCCCGGGCCCAACCTCTCTGCCCCACCCCCACAGCCTCCTGGGCTCCCGGCTCCCGGCCTCTCTGTCCCCTGTCCCCCCAGGCTCGTGGGGCCCCCGGCCTGGCTGGCTGGGACTCACCATCTGTGCTCTCAGGTACATCTGCGCTTGGCTGGCCGTCAGGGCTGGAGCAGATGTGTTGCCCAGCAGCACAGCCTGCTGCGCGATGCCTGAGGCTGTCGCCGAGTTCACGCTCTGAGCCCGGTTGATGAGCTGGGCTGCGGCTGGGGAGGCTGCCAGGTTGATCTGCTGGGACAGACAGACAGGAGTGACGGGAAACGGGAGGTTCTGCTGTGAGCGGCGATCCCTCAGCCACTTCCTCTCCCCTTCTTCTGTCCCTTGGTTTGTTCGGCCTCCTTTGCGACCCTCTCTGGCCCTTGGGCTTTGGAGCTACCCCCACCAGGCTCCCTGTCCCCCCATGCTGCCCTGTCTCTGGCCTAGGCACAGAGATGCCTGAGCGGAGAGATATAGAGATAGAGATAGAGAGAGATGATAGAGAGAGAGAGAGAGAGAGAGTCAAATGCCCACAATAGCCAGGGCTGGGCCAGGCAAAAGCCAGCAGCCCAGAACGTCATCTGGGTCTCCCATGTGGGTGGCAAAGACGCAGCACGTGAGCCATCATCTGCTGCCTCCCAGGGTGCGCATTAGCAGGAAGCTGGATCAGAAGTGGAGGAGCTGGGATTCAAACCAGGCACTCCTGGGATGCAGGAACCCCAAGTGGTGTGCTAACCCCTGCCAAAGTCTGCCCCCACCCCCCACCGCCGCCTTCTTTTTTCTGGCGGGAGAACAGCCCCAGTTCTGCGTGGGTGAGGATTCACCACAGCCAGAGCGTCTCAGGCAAGGAGGAAGGGGCTGGCCAGAGCTGGGCCCTCAGCCGTGGCTCCCCGACGCTGCTCACCGAGGACGGCTGCGCCGGGGCCTGCGCGGACACACTGCTGCCGGAAGCGCTCCCCTGTCTGCTGGCCACCAGGCTCGCCTGGAAGAAGAAGCAGCTCCAGTCACTGGGCTCCAGCGACACGCCTCCCCCAGCCTCTCTTGCGCCGGATCCCGTGGTGGGAAAGGCAGCCCCGGAGCCCCCCGCCCGCCTGCCCCATCATGCAGCTTCCTAGTTTCCTCTTGCACAGGGCAGGGCTACCGTGGTCCCACGCTGCCGCTGGCTTGCTGAGGGCACTGAACGAGACCGAGCGCCGAGGCACAGCCCTGGGACTGCTGGCCACTCCCAGCGTGGGCATCTCCAGCTCTCTCCAGCCCCTGCTCTGGCCGGTCCCTCGCCCGCGACCCGCGTCCCCCGGGCTGAGGCCTCAGTGTGCTCTATGTGGACTGCCCAGCCTGCCCCCTCCCCTTGGCCAGCTTCCCTGCCGCCTGCCACCCAGTGGGAGGTGCCCTCTTTGTCACAAATCTTTGTGACTTGTCATCAAGGGGAAGGAGCTGTTCTGCCCTCTCATAGTGCCTATCACAGCTGAGACACTGAAGTCTGTTTGTTTCTATGGCTTCCTGTTTTTTTTTTTTTTTTTTTTTTTTTTTTTTTTTTTTCTGCATCCCCACTATAAACTCTAAGAAGACAGAGTCCAGGGTACCCAGAGTCTGACGTGGACTTTGCATGCAGTAGGTGTGCAAAGTATTTTGCTGAGTGAATGAATGAATGAATGGATGAACTCTTCTTCTCAGCCAGTAGGAGGAGAACATCAGACGGACAAGCCCTTCCCCACGGATGCCCCTGCGGAGTCCACGGTCCTTCTCCCGGGGGCAGGGAAGTGGGGAGAAGGGGCTCTCCCTGTACTTCTGCCCTGGCTGGCGGGCGGCTTTGGGCTCAGCTCGTCACTGTCAGAGGCGATGACGACAGTTGTGTGGCCTCAGAGAGAGCGGGCACGGGAAGCCCCCGCGCAGGGCCCGCCTGGCTTCCGCGCCGCGACCCCTGGCAGTGCGTGGTGCGCCTGTGGCTCTCACCTGCTGCACGGCCGCCAGGCTCTGGAGCTGGGCGCTGCTCAGGTGCTGCTGCTGCAGGGCTGCGGTCTGCAGCATGAGGTGCTGCTGCTGGGCGGCGTACATCTGCTGCAGGTACTGAGCCGCCGTGCTGGGCTGCCTGTGCAGTGCCTGCTGGATCACCTGGGAAGGTGGGAGAGGCGGGGAGCCTCAGTGGCCTGGCAGGCCCGGCTCTCCGCAGCCGCTCGTGCCCCGACCGTGACGAAGGCTGGCTCTGCAGCGGGATGGGGCAGACGGCTACGTGCACAGCTTTACAAACGCCCACCCTGCCTCCCCTGCACCTCTCCCCTGCACCTCTCCCCAGCACAGTCTGCTCCCGCGCCACTGCCTCGGGACATGAGGGAAAGCAGCACCGGGCCCTGAGCAGCTCTCGGGACAGAAGTGCCACGCCAGGGGCGGGGGGTGCTATTCCAGCATCAACAATGGCTGCCAAACTTGAACTCCCTGCACAGGTGACACAGTCCCCTGGGGTGGGGGTGGGGGCTGCAGCTCCAAGACTTGCGCAGTGCGGCTCCCTAGCTCAGCCACAGCTGAGCAGAAAGCCCTAGAAGAAGGTTCCTGGGCTCTGCAGAGCACCCCCAGCTCTTCTTCTCTGCCTCCCACTTCCTCTTTCCGGTTGCTGTCTCCCCTTCTCGGGCCTTACTGCCCAGGGTGGCTGAGCAGCCTTCTGCAGGAGGGGAGGACAGGCTGCTCTGATCCCCACTGGCCCCCGGGAGAATGAAGAGCGAAGGCCTTCCTGGCAGCCCTGAGACCCTCGGTCTTCTCCCAAGCCCCAGAGACCCCCTCCTCCTCCTCCCCCCACTGCCCTCCTGCCTTCTCTTCCTGGGGACGTCCTGGACTGACCCCAGCCATGCCTGCTTCCTCTGAATCCCAGCCACAGGGACACTCCCGACGCTGGGCCCTGCCTGGGACAGGCCAGCAGGACTTCCAGGACCAAACAGCATCTGGGCCCAGACTGAGGCTTCCGTGAAGAGGCTGAGACTGTCGCTCCCCCGTGGGCTCTGGGGTCTCTGCCGACACCCCCACTGCACCCAGCTCATCCGCCTTCCCCTCACATTCCTGTTTTTTCCAGAGTGCGTGCCTCTCTGGAACCCCTTTTATATCAACTCCCCTCCTCTGTCTTGAGCTGGGATAGGAAAGGCACGTCCTGATGTCCAGCAGCTGAGATGTGCATGCGCCAGGGGCTGGGAGGGGACTGTGGGCAGGGCAGGGGGGGCAGGAGCAGGTAACTCGGGTTTATTAAGCAGCAGGCAGAGGCACCGGTGTGTGTGTGTTGGGGTGGGGGTGCAGGTTAGAGTGTCTGTTGTCTTCTTAGATCAGGTTTCTCAGGCCCGCTTGCTGTCTGCTGTGGATTCCTCCCTTTCCTGTCTATCTCCGGGCCTCAAGCCAAGCAGGGTGAGGTCACTTTTCCAGTGGATCCGGAGCACAACAGCAAAGCCACTCTGAGAACGCGTGTCTCAGCCACAGCCTCTCCTTCCTGCCCTCTAACAGGACAGGAGGCCTGGGAGCCTCTAACAGACACGGCAGGGAGTAAGAACAGGAGCTTGGGGTGGGAGAGAGGTTCTTTCATCTGGTCTTTATCTGAACGACCTCGGACAAGTTGCTACCTTCTCCGAGCCTCTGTTTTCTCAGCTCTAGAACTGTCCCTGATAACAAGCAATCGCACGGCCGCAGGAGGAGGACAAGTCTGCAAAATGCTGAGCGCACTGCTGGGCAAGCAGCAGCTGGCAGTGCACGGTCACGCTGTGTTTGCAGCAGCGTGCAGCACCTGGAAGGCCCTGGTGATGCCGCTCGGCAGACTTCAGGGAGGTGGGGGTAAAAAGCTTCAAACAAGGGTTCGTTGGCTGCTCCTTTCTGGTCCTCTGTCTGGAAAACTGCAGCTTGCTCTTCACAGGGACATGGCCATGGGCGCGGTGGGCTTGGGCCACGGCTGAGTCATCTTGTTCCCATCTGCCCTTTACTCTCTTAACCCGCCCACTCTCCCAAAATGGCGCTCTGGGTCTGAGTCCTCACCTCAGGAGACAGCAGCTTTTCCACCTGCTGAGAATCCTCCCCCTCGCCAAGCTTCCGTGGTCGGCCCCTCTTGCTTCACTCTCCTATTCTAATGACGCACAAATCTATGTCCCCCAACCCACTCATGTACGTTATCCATCAGACCATGCCACAACCCGCTCTGGGCCAGCCCTGTAGATCATTAAGGATGACAGTTCCTGGATCAGTTAGAATCTTACCTGCACAGTCTGCCGGTCAGGGATGCCACTGTACACAGAAATCTGGGGCCCCGTGGCACGGCCGCTTCCTCCGCTGCTGCCGCTGCTGCTGCCGCTGCCGCCATTGCTGCTACTGGAGCCACTGGTGCTGCTGGTGACACTGGCGCTGCCGGAGGTGTGCGGGGCTGGTGGCTCATTCTCCATGGCCTATGGGTGGCACAGTCAGGGTGCTCAGATGGCAGAAGAGCAGGCGGCTGCCAGAAAAGAAGAGGCAGAGGGGCGATGTGCGGCAAACGCATGCTAGCACGTGCCCTCGTCAGCCCTCCTAGCACGTGCCCTCCGTATCTGTGTGGTCGGCATCTGTGGATTCCACCAACTGAGAGTGGAAAATAAGTGGGGAAAAATCTGCATACGTACTAGATACACGCAGACGGCTTTTTCTTGACACCATTCCTTATACAACTCAATACAACAAACTATGTACTTGGCATTCACTGTGAATTAGGTATTTTTTTTACTCTTTTTTTTTTTAATTTAATGAGTACAAGCGTCATAAGTACAACTTTAGGAATGTAGTGATTCTTCCCACCATACCTGCCCTCCCACCCCAACTCCCACCATCCCCCCGCCTCCTCCCTCTCCCATTCCCAGTCCCATTCTCCATTCAGATTCATTTTCAGATAACTTTATACACAGAGGACCAACTTTATAGAGTGAAGATTTCAACAATTCGTGCGTGAGGTGTTTGAGGTGTGGAGAAGACGTAAAGCACGGGGAGTGTGCACAGGTGACGTCTGTGAGGCTGTGCATTCACAGCGCTGTTCCAGGCGAGGAGCTGGGGCACCTGCAGATCTTGGCGTCTGTGAGGGATCCCGGAGGCACCCCCCCCCCCCCCAGGAACACAGAGGAGTGACTGCGTATGCGTACACGACTTCCCACACGGCTTGTGGCGTGAAGTACTGAGACACACTGGTGACCAGGATGGGGCCAGGCTGCCTTCATCAGGTGAGACCTGAATCAGCTCTGCCTGGTTCCGGAGTCCACGATCCGGTCGTGCTGCGGGGACGTGGTCAAGCCGGCACAGCGGGGCAGATTTCCTATCACGTTCTCCCTGGCAGTGACCTCAGCTAGGACCTCTCACCCCTTCGACCTCTTTCTCTCTGGGATGAAGGAACTGAACTTCAGAGAACTCACAAGGGGCAGGATTACAGATCTGCTGAGAACAGGAGAGAAAGAGGCAGAGAAGGAGGTAACAAAATAAACGGAAGTGTTTGTTTTGTGTTGTGCTCAAAGCCAGAGGAGCTTCACTTAGGTTAGAAGTTTCTGTTTTCTTTACAAAGTCCATACTGAGTGCTGTCTGATCGAACGCTGAGCAGGGTGCTAAGTGGAGCAATGGGTTCAAACCTTAGGGTTTTGATGGGGCCTGTGTTGTGGGGCAGTGGATGGAGAGACCAGGGAGACCAGGATGGATTTCCGGCCTGGCTCAGCCCTGGCTGTTGTGTGAACAACAGATAGTTGGAGGGTCTCTCTTTGTCACTCTGCCTTTCAAATAAATAAAATAAATCTATTTTTAATCATTTTCACAAAGCCACAAAGAGGTAACCCGTTTTTTAAAAAAGATTTATTTATTTATTTGAAAGGCAGAGAGAGAGAAAAAAAGAGAGAGAGAGAGAGAGAGAGATGAAGTCTTCCATATGTTTGTTCATTCTCGACATGGCCACAACAGCCGGAGCTGAGCCAATCTGAAACCAGGAGCCAGGAGCCTCTTCTGAGTCTCCCACATGGGTACAGGAGCTCAAGGACTTGGGCCATCTTTTACTGCTTTCCCAGGCCATAGCAGAGAGCTGGATCAGAAGTGGAGCAGCCGGGACTCAAACCAGTGCCCATAAGGGATGCTGGCACTGCAGGCAGCGGCTTTACCTGCTATGCCACAGCGCTGGCCCCAATGAAATCAATCTTAAAAAAAAAAAAAATCCTCATGTTTTGGAGTCAGAAAGACCTGGCTTTGAGACCTGGCTCTCAAACTTTCTAGCCGCAAAGCTTTGCGAGTGGCACCTGCCTGACCTTCTAACTCTTCATCTGTCCCGGTCGGGAGCGTAGAGCAACATGTGACGGGTGCACAGCAGAGTGTCAGGCACCCACGTGCTGCTGCGTGTGGTTTATCAGCACCGTGCCCAGCCTGGCTCTCGCAGACTGGCTCCAGGGGATGGGGCCGCTCCAAGACGGACTTGGCAGAGCCTCTGGAAACCTCCCGTTCCTGCAGGGAGCATCCTGGGGCCTCCAAACAGAACTGGAAATTCCATTTCCCCTTGAGGCTCCATGCTGGGGACAGAGAGGGGCTGGAAAGAGGGGACGGGCGGTGGGAGAGGCACACCCAGATCTGAGGTCAGGTTCCTTGTGCTTCTTTCCGGCTGTTCCGCACAATCTCATTTCTACGCAGAAGCCTTTCCTTCTGCCATTCTTTCCTAGCTGTAAAAATAGCATTTCTCCATCACTCCATCAGTCAACCCCGTGCTTGCTGCTTATACTAATTTCAGGAGTGAAACAAATGTGATTTTCTGCATCCACGAAAGCACTGACTAGTGCCAAGGACAGAAGTCGGCGTTGGCGTCCTGTTGGCCTCCCCCCAGGCTGCCTTCTTCAGTCCAGGTGGGTTTCACTGGGGGCTGCAAAAGGTGCGGGCAGAGACTCATAAACCGCAGTGCTGGGCATTGGGAAGCCCGAGCCACTCCCAGGCGGCCAGCAGCGACTTGCTTACAGCTGCCAAAGCAGTCTGAGTCGGCACTCGTGACCTGGGCCTCAGGCAGTGATTCCCCCACCCCGGGTGCTGTACACCTGCTCTTCCTGCACAGTCCAAGGCCCCTAGTCCCCCATTCCCTTCGTCCTGTGCCCCACTCTGTTCTGGGGCTCGTTCCGGCCACTGGCTTGTTCAGCTTGCTCACAAAGTTGCTGATGCAGGAGTCAGTGAGACGGCAAAGTCAATAAGTGTGGCCCAGCCCTGCTCTGTGGAAATCCACCTTCTCTTCTGTTCTAGGGACGTGTAGCTCCCGATCTTGCAGAAACTGAAAAAACTGAGTAGATGAGACTCAACTGATTTTTTTTTTATTTGACAGATATAGTTAGACAGTGAGAGAGAGAGACAGAGAGAAAGTTCTTCCTTCCGTTGGTTCACCCCCCAAATGGCTGCCACAGCCGGAATTACGCCGATCTGAAGCCAGGAGCCAGGTGCTTCCTCCTTGTCTCCCATGCGGGTGCAGGGGCCCAAGCACTTGGGCCATCCTCCACTGCCCTCCCAGGCCACAGCAGAGAGCTGGACTGGAAGAGGAGCAACCAGGACTAGAACCTGGTGCCAATATGGGATGCTGGCACCACAGGCGGAGGATCAACCAAGTGAGCCACGGCACCAGCCCCCTCAACTGAAATTTAAGGATCATCGTGCAACAAGCCACCAAGTGGCAGCTCTGTTCAAACAAGGAACCCCCACAGAGCTCCTCTCCTCCCTTCCCAAAGCACTGAGCCACTCTGGGAATTCCCAATGGAAGTATTCACAGAGAAAATACAACGGAAGGGGCTGGTGGTGTGGTGTAGCAGGGAAAGCGCTACCTGTGACGCCGACACTGGCACCCCATAAGGGCTCTGGTTCTAGTCCCGGCTGTTCCACTTCTGATCCAGCTCTCTGCTATGGCCTGGGAAAGCAGCAGAAGATGGCCCAAGGCCCTGGGTCCCTGCACCCACGTGGGAGACCCGGAAGAAGCTCCTGGTTCCTGGCTCCTGGCTTCAGTCTGGCTCGGTCCTGGCTTTTGTGGCTCCTTGGGGAGTGAACCAGTAGATGGAAGAGCTCTCTCTGTGTGTCTCTTCTCTCTCTGTAACTATGTCTTTCACATAAATAAATCTTAAAAAAAATAGAGTAAAATAAAAATAAAATGGGAAAATAGGGTAGTAGCCACAGTAAATCAGAGGCTAGGATAAGCCACATCCCAGTGAGCAAGCCTCAACCTTAACTTTCTTTTTCTGTCTAATGCAGATGTGGTGGACAGTGTACCTGGATCCTTGCTGAGAAATAAAGCAAGACACAATCTAAGGACGGCACAGCATTCCTTTACGGAACAAACACCGTCCCTGCCCTGGTGAGGACAGCCACCGCTCTCCCGCAGGGGCCAGCCTTACCCTAGCCTCCTGGGGACCCAGGCGGGAGACACCGCTTGGACTCTGCCCACCTGCCTCCTTCTTGCTACCACAAGCATGCCTCGCCCTTCCCTCTCCACTGTGTCCTTCTCGGCTTCTGCTGCTCCTCCTCGCTTTGCCTTTTGGGTCTCCCTGGGTTCCCGGTCTCCATGGGTCTTTGCTGGCTGCTCCTTGGGCGGCCCTCCCCCTCCGGCACACTCAGCACGCTCGCTCGCTGTTCCCCTGTGGGCTCCTGGCACTCCCGTTCTGCTTTTGCCCTCTTGGCCTCCTGCGATTGATCGTGCCTGGCTGCTCTGGCTCACTCTAATGAGCTCCCTCTATTCTTGACCTCGCTGCTCGCTCCTGGCCCCACTCGCTTGCCCTTGACCGCCTCTCCCTGCATCTGGCTCTGTCCGGTTCTGTCTGTGCCTCCCTCCCTTGTCACATGCTCCAGTTCTCCCTCACTTGCTGTGGACTCCCTTGCTTGAGCTTGCTCCTCCTCCCCTGGACCTAGACAGCACATGAACTTGCCACTTGCTCTCCTCTCCAGCAGGCTGGCACCCTCTCTTCCATCTCATGCTTTTGATAGCCACAACTGTCAAGTGTGTGCTCCCTCACTCTCTTGCCTGCTCTCTCGCAATCACTCATGCAAAAGACAGGGGAAGGAAGGAGGCACAGACTCTGATTAGAGGCATCAGAGAGGCAGAGGGACAGCAAGCTTCCCACATACTGGGTTCACTCCCCAAATGCCTGCAATAGCTGGGGCTGGGCCAGCGCTGAAGCCGGAAATCAGGAACTCAATTCAGGTCTCCCATGTGGGTGGCGGGAACCCAATTACTTGAGTCATCGCCTGCTGCCTTAGCCAAGGTCTGCATTAGCAGAGTCAGGAGCCAGAGCTGGGAATGGAATCCAGGCTGCCACAGGATGCAGGCATTTTAGTCACGAGGCAAACACCCACCGCTGGACTAAAATCTGCAATTCAGTAACATTAACCGCACTCACAATGTTGTGCAACCATCCCTGCTATGGATTCCCAGAACTTTGTCATCATCTGAAACAGAAACGCTATTAACTCTTGGGCAATCACTGC